ATAATTACCTTCATTAGACTTCTTGCGAAATTCAATTTCTGATGGCAATTTTGTTGTCGAAGCTGAGCTGTGCTCCTCAAATACATCCAAGCATTCTGTGGTGCTCACTTGCACTTCTCCTAAAAATTTTTCATCATAAATCGGTTTTGAAAGAAGTCTATTGTTAAAATGCACTTGAAATGCTTGCTGTTCATCTGTCTCTTTATGTTGAGGTAATAACGGCCAGATTTCTATGTATCCTTGATCATTTTCTCTGTGTGGAACGTGTTTTATTTCATTGTTGTAAAAAGATACTTCTTCACAAAAGTTATTGAATAATCTATCAACAAACATTAATACTTCTGGAGTTGAGCGAAATGATTTTTCAAGTTGACACGACAGCCAATCTTTATTTCTTGTCTTGTCATGAAAATATTTTTGCATGTAGTTAAATAAAATGGGATTGGCGCCTTGAAATCTATAGATGGATTGCTTCACATCACCTACAACAAATAATGTTCTTTTTTCATCACCTCCAGCAAAAAATTCATCACATAGGCTTGTAATGATTTTCCATTGGTCAACACTATTGTCTTGTGCTTCATCGACAAGAATATGATCTATTTTTTGGTCCAGATTAAATAATACCCAATCTTTGTAATTGTGATCACTGAGAAGATTTGTAGCTAAATCTATGATATCATTATAGTCAAGCAGCGCATTTTGCAATTTCTCATTGTTATAGAAGTCAACATACACTTTGAATATAATGAGCAAATTACTAGTTCTTTGAAATATTTGATAAGAATCCATATCTCTCACATATGAAAGCACTATATCCTGAACGCTCTCTATCATTTGCTCTGCATCAGGAAATTTTTCTAATGTACTCTTGGTAATGATTGATGATATGTTTTTCTTTTCGTGCGATTCCAGCTTGATAAACACTTTAGCCATACTTTCCACATTTTTTGCACTATTGTACCAATCATAAAGTACCCTACTGTAATTCTGATCCCTTTTACTTCCTTCACTTAATATTTTAGATAGCCTTTTTATATGCTCAAGTACTTCGCTTGGTAAATCATAGATTTCATCTGGCGCTTTCAGTTTAGCTCTTAGGTGCTCTAAATCACTTGCCGCTTTCTTGACGCATAAAGTATAAAGTAAATCACACAATTCATTTTCATTAACTTCAGTTGCAATAGCATTAATATTATCTTGTAAAGCTTCATAAATTAACACCTTGTCAAACACTATAGAATGTAGCTCTTTGCACTCACTCAGTGTACAATTTGGAGGAATACCTGCTTCTATAGGAAAGCTAGAAATCAATTTGTAACAGAAAGCATGTATAGTTTGTATGGTTAAATTGAGATTTTCTAGCTCGGAAAAAAGTTTTCTTGCCTGAGTGAGATGATGTTTATCATTAAGTAATTGTTCTAAGTCTTTTTCTAGCTCACTGTTTGAACATACTGCCCACTTACTAAGTGTGTTATAAATACGATTCTGCATCTCATCTGCTGCAGCGTTAGTAAATGTTAAGCAGAGGATGTTTTTTTTGTGTTCTAATAATAATCTTAATACCCTATCTATTAAAATTTTAGTTTTTCCTGTACCAGCAGATGCGTTTACCCACACAGAAAGATTAGGATTGATAGCATTTTTTCTCATTCAAGCTATAAAAGTTGACCAAAATAACATCACAAGTATAATGTAGAAATAATTCTCGTGAAGACATATAATGAAAAGTTTTTGTGTGAAAGCATATGCAAAGATTAATCTTTTCTTACACATTATAGATAGGAAAGAAACAGGCTATCACTCGATTGAAAGCTTATTCGTTTTCGCTAATCTCGCTAATTTTTTAGAGATAAAGGTAGGTCCTAAGAGATTTAGGTATGACAACTCTGAAGTTAAGTTTATAAATTCTGAATCTAGGATAAATAGTTATTATAATACTGTAATGAAAGCAGTTAATATGCTGCTTAGATATGCTCCAAGTCACACGAAAGTTTCTATCAGAGTTATAAAGAATATACCAACAGCTTCAGGTTTAGGCAGCGGAT